ACCGCTCAGCACCGTTATTGCACGCACCAGGCTCCGATGGCTCGGCCACGTGTTACGCATGCCAGCCCACCGACTCCCGCGACGTGCGTTATTTGCACGCCGGGGGTGTGGATGGAAGAAGAGGAGGGGTGGCCAAGCAATGACTTGATGGAGAGGAATGAAGGCCCTCACTTCTGAGCTGGCCTCGGTTGGAGCGTCTCGGCTCCCTGGTTGGGGTCCGAAAGACGATGAACACATTTGGTTGGACACACTTGCTGATATGGCTAGGAGCTGACCTCAGTGGCGTTCGTGCTGTGAGTTTCTTTGTCCCACCTCATCCCTCTTAGCCTCCCCCTCCAACCACGATCTCACTATTTAACCTTGTATAATTCTGCATCTTGATTTTTTGATGCATAGTAACCGGCTGCTAGCTTACCGGAATGATGCTCATCCGTTACCGGTAGCTCAGCCAGTTGCATTTTTCTCCTTTTTTCTATTTATTGCGACACAGTAGCTGAGGTGTTTCTCACCTCTAGTTAACGTGTATGATGATGATGACATGACCCGGGAATCTGACTTTCCAATAATCTCACCGCTGCACAGGTTCATGCGTACACGCACAGGCACACAAACTACGCGAAGGCTGATGCGGAAAAAGGTGAAACTTAATCACCGTCTTTGATCGAGGAGATTGAAGCCCAAGACCAAGAGAAAGGCTTGCGTTAACACTCGATGCTTACACTATTCCCCTGCACTAACATGAACAAAATGAGGTCTGAACATCGTCCGGTCGCCTTACTCCGCATTCCTTGCTAACGAATTGCTAGTCTTATGTTTATACTACAGTGTGACCGATTTGCTTTGCAGAATGTTCACTTTTACGTGCAAATTATATATATTCGCATACCGACTATTGTCAATGTCAGTGAGCAGACAATATAAAATGGCTATCGTTTGCTGCCACCGATAGGGAAGTATTTTAACTGGGATAGAAACAGAGTTTGAAAAGTTGCAAGCCTATGAAAACGCGTTGTGTACTTGTGCGGTAGGCATACTTTGCAGCTCAAGCAATCACACAGGAGACGACGCTGGTTTATCGCAAAAATCTATGAGCAGATGACTGCTTTATAGGCATGGCAGTGAAATACCATTTGGTGTGATGCAGCGCAAATCAAAACGCTTCGCAATTTGTGACTATATAGACGGCACTTAGGGGATGCAGGGTTCGCCTCTGTGTCGTCACTGAAAAGAGCGCAACGAAAGATGGTGTTGGTCGAATGACACCTACCAGACTGAGATCATGTCAGTGGTCAAAGCATTTCTCCAACAAATATAACCTTTGGTTGCTGAAAGTTTCTTCTTCGGTCACCGTTACAAATGACCAACTTCTCGCAACTGATGGAAGTAACAGCCAAACTCCCGGCTTTCAGTGTCCTGCAATCACAACCGCTTCTCACTCCACCGAAGCTCCAGCTCTTCTTCGACCTGGTTCTCCATTCATTCTCGCAGCGTTTAATGTTCGAACTTTGATGCAGATCGGACGACAAGCATGTCTGGCCCGTACTCTTGCAACGCTATCGGCAGACGTCTGTTGCCTAGACTAGAGACTAGACTACAAAACTCTAGCGCCGTCATCAGCATAGCCTCTCCGGAAAACCCTGACACCAAATACCACTTGCGGCTTTCCGGATACCCAGAAGGTGCCACCTCTGTCCAAGCTGGTGTTGGGGTTGCACTGAGTGTCAAGGCTGAATCAGCTCTGCTTGACTGGATCCCAGTCAACGGTCGACTATGCGCAGTCCGATTCAGAGGTTCATGTAATGTAAGCAGGCGTCGAGAAGTTAAGTGTGCCTTGTTTGTCATCTCCGCCTACGCCCCTACAAACTGCAGCTCGGATGCAGTCAAGGATAACTTTTACCAACAGCTGCATGAACTTCTGCGTTCCTCCAAAAGGACTGATATAGTCATTCTTGCCGGAGACTTTAGCGCGCGTGTGAGCCGCCTTCCGCTAAGCGAGTACCACCTTGGGGGTAATTTTGGTCTCGGTGGCAGTCGATCAGAAAGTGGAGACAGACTGCTTGCTCTTTGCTCTGATCATCGCATGTTTCTTTCAAACGCTAGTTTTCTGCACTCGAGGAGCTACACTGCTATTTGGTGCACGCCCTCACCAAAGCAATAGTGCTCCCAGCTTGACCTCATAGCAATCAGCTACAGATAGCGCGGAAACGTAACGGACTGCCAGTCGTACTGGTCAACTTATATAGACTCCGATCACGCATTGCTTCATGCTAAGGTTTGCATGCGTTTCGGAGGATCACCTAAGCGCGCCCACTACCGATCGGATGTCGCAAATCCACAAAACACGGCGATTTCGATCAGGTACCAAGCCTCGCTATCAACATTGCTTGGCTTGACCATTGACTGTGACCTCGATTCGCAGTGGGCATAGATCAAAGATGCCTTAGTTTCCGTCAGTCTCGACAATTGTGAAGTTTCCCGTCACCCACCAAAGCACTGAATTTTCCTTGGCTGCTTGTCGCTGATGGACAAATGCCGCTTGATCCCATCGAATTCCAGGCACAGTGAAGAACGCCAACCCCTAGACCGAGAGTTGCGCAGGAGTCTGCAAATGGACCGCAAAGCTTGCTAGTGTGAACGTGCTACGGAGATGGAGGTTGCTAGTCACTCTGGTACTACCAGAAAACTTTTCCATTTCATTCGAGTTTACGAAGGGGTTTGTTCAGGTATAAGTGAAACAGTATGCGAAGAGGATGGCACCTTAATCACTAACCTTCAAGGACGGTTGGAGCGATGGGCCGAACATTGTGCCTGGCAGTTTTATTGGCCTCTAGCTCCATCTGCTACCACTGACGCTCGCACTGATGCCGAGTGGTCTACTCCCACAGATCCTCCCTCTTACCAGGAAATCGAGCAGGAGCTCCACCACACGAAGCAGTAAAAGCCCCCGGCCCTGATAGTCTTCCTCCAGCTCTGTTTAAAGATGGTGGCTCTTCGCTGGTTCGAGAATTCACTGCTTTGTTCTCGAAAGTCTGACCGAATGAGGAAGTACCATCATCTTAGGATGAATCGGTAGTCGTCCCTGTAAAAGGTGCGGCCCTCCGGCAGAAAGAACAACAGGTGGCGGCGACACGAAAATCTTTATTGGCGAGAATTGCTTTCTTTTTATATCAGATATGACCATTTTCTGCGCCCGTTTCTATTCGGCTACTACACTTTCATGCATTTGTCTCCATTTGCCAGTGTCCTTTGATCCTGGGCGTTTCGCCTCCAATCGTTCGGTCGTAATTCGTCCATGGCATTTGCTACAATTGGTTCCCCATGCTGTGTCTTGACGATCAAAAACCAATCGGCCGATGGGTTTCGGTTCAGTGCCTGCTCTTTCTGGCCTATGGACGGTCGTTCGCGTACCGGATTGACGTGACGCTGATTGGTCAGGCGTCTGATGCAAGTCCTCGATCCCCTTAACGTCGCTTACTCGTTTGCGAGCCGTCTCGGGTTTTGATTGGATATTCGGACCACGCTTGTTTGCCAGACGCTTTTCCGAGCCGTTGTCTGTTCGTCCGATCGGTAGCTTGTGTGCGCCACTGGTTGGCGGTGCCGCGAACTGATTGCGATCTCCGATTGTGTTGCCGATTGGTGGAAACCAGTTCGCGCTGTTGGCTGGCGGTTTGGCACGG